AATTAGGACACAAGTGGATGGCCTGTACAACGTAAAAACCCGTGGGGGGGGGGGGGGGTCACAGGTGCAGCAAAAGGTCTGCTGTCAGCAGCATGTCAAATTCAATGACAGGCTGAAATATGCAGCAGCTGGATGCTGTTCTGACCAGTACTTGCATTTAGGGTCATGTGTTCAGGGAATATCCGATTGCCTCTCAGGGGATCAGGAAGGAATTTTTTCCCCTGCAGGAGCAAATTGGATCACGCTTTGCTGGTTTTTTTTGCCTTCCTCTGGATCAACTGTGGGTATAGGATTTCCGCTTTTGGTACATACGACCCTGAACACCAAAATGCGAGTGCTGACCGAAATAGTGTCCAACTGCCCCATATTTCAATCTGTCATCGATTTTGGCAGGCTGTCGGAAAGCGCTGCATGCTGCACCTGCGCCTCTCTTGTGTCCAGAAATGCCAGGTTTTTTTGCTGTACAGGCCATACTGCCCATGTGCATGATCCCTGATAGCAGCAAATATTTGGCAATCCTGCCAGCCCCTTGCCTTCCGACAGCATTATAATCCACGCCAAGCACAGAAGCGAATTCCGTGTGCATTTTTTTTTAAACGCTGCAAGACTTGCTGCCCGGACAAAACATCTCCTACAATGAGATCTCTTAATAGTTTCATTGCTAAATTAACTTTTTGATTTTCATCCTGTTAATCTCTTCACGCCGATGCCTCCCGGTCTTTTAAGGGGTTTTAGACACTGGGAGGCGGGGCGGGGTTTTAGGGTCATGTGACCGCTGTGATTCGCTGTCACGGCGGCTACATGATCGGAAAAGGTCCCGATCGCAAGGGGAGATCGGGACCTTTCCATGAGACACTGGCATATGTGCTGGGAGCACGCAGGGCGTGCGCTCTCAGCACATATGTGTTTTCAATTGGTACGCAAATATGCGGCCACTCGGCATCAAGGCCCAGCCGCCGAGAGGCCGCATATTTGTGTACGCTCGGTGTCAAGGGGTTAAAAAAGAGAACTACTATGACTTGGGCTCATTTTTCTGTTTAGGTTTGTTGTTTTTTTATACACCTTTTATGTATACCAACTTTTTTTTATTTTTTACAAATAGGGACCCCGGAGAACTATGGGTCACCTAAAGAGGCAGCACTGAAGTAATGATATTTTTTAAGTAGATTGGCTGTCACGGGAACGTTTACCTGAAGTCGCAAACAAATAAAGGATTTCCCAGCAACACTTACCAACCAGCCTGCAAAACAACCAATGTGGGTCTGTCTATCAGTTTGCATTAACAACAGAGGGTTTTGTTTGCACACATTTGCAGATACATGCGTAAGCCGCAGTGCCCACGCCAAGGGTCTTCTGTATACTGTGGACCTAACTAAAATTTCCAGAGCCTTCATAGTAGGAGCACATATTATCAATGGATAGGTTAAGGGCGGGTGTGCCTGGAGGGAGCCCACCCCTCCTTAAAGGTACAGGGACGCACGTGGCGCCCAGCTATACCTAAATGACAGCAAAGGCATCCATTGCGTCCCTGCGTCCAGATTAGCCAACTGCACAAAAATGGCAACTGTCCCGACCTAGAACCAGCCTTAGGAGTAAGGTGCACGTGACATGTCTGGTATGGGAGGAGTTACCTGTGTGTATACATTTCTGCTTAACCACTTTACCCCCACCCTATAGCAGATTTACTGCTACAGGGCAGACATTCTGTGCAAAATCATGTATATAAATGTAATTTGGCACTTCTGCCAATAGGGGGCACACACCAGCTGCTGAAACTCTGCTTTTTCTGTGATTGGACACAGCAGAATACGATCAACAGGTGCCGGACAATGGATGAGCTCTGGCACCTGTTGATCACCTTGGACAGGGGGTTTCAAACTGGCGGCACCTCCAGCTGTTGTGAAACTACAAGTCCCATCATACCTCTGCATTTGGGAGTCATACTTGTAATTGTCAATCTTGCAATGCCTCATGGGACTTGTATTTTGGCAACAGCTGGAGGGTCGCCAGTTTGACACCTGTGACCTAGGAGATTGACAGAACACAACTCTGCTTATGTAAACAAGGCAGAGCTGTGTTATGTCAACGACCATCTGCTAGATTTTATTCAGGGAATAAAATCTAGATGATTGCCTGGCAAAAACAGCGCATTGTACACACAAAGACACAGGCTAGGCACAGAATGAACCCTTTGATCGCCCTGGATGTTTAACTCTTTCCCAGCCAGTGTCATTAATACAGTGACAGTGTATATTTTTAGCAGCGATCACCGTATTAGTGTCACTGGTTCCCACAAAGTGTCAGTTAGCGCTCGGTCAAGCTAAAAAACGGTGCGGGAGAGCATTCTGATTGCAATGCCCTTGCAAACCGCTGCAGGGGTCAGTTAAAGTTAACAACACCCCGAATGCAGGTTGGAAATGCATTACGTTCACTCACACCGGCGCGCACCAAACCGCATGGTACAAAGTACCATGCGATGCGGTTGCCATAAGTTTAAAAAAAGTAGTGCATGCATTTTAGCGCGGTGCGGCACAATTTCATCCCATTCAAATGAATGGGCATGAAATCGCACCGCATAGACCCGCATATGAATCACACAGGAATGCATAGAGCATTTCTGTGCGATTCATATCAGGGCATAGTGTGAACCGGCCCTTAGTGTCAGACTGTCCAAAATATTGCATAAGTCGCTAATCACCATTACTAGTATAAAAAAAATAATAAAATAAAAATCCAGTATATATACAGCCATTTGTAGATGCTATATCTTTTTCGCAAACCAATTAATAAACACTTATTGGGATTTTTTTTACCAAAAATACGTGGCCTAAATTCCGATTGCCCAACGGATAAAATTCAAAATGCTAACATTGACGTACAAAGCTATTCATAATACTGCCCCAAACTACATCACCACCCAAAACGTACTCTCCGTTCCTCACAAGACCTCCTACTCTCTAGCTCCCTGGTCTCCTCCTCCCATGCCCCTCTCCAGGACTTCTCCAGGGCTTCCCCCATCCTCTGGAACTCCCTATCCCAATCCATCAGACTATCACCTACTCTCCTCACCTTTAGGCGCACTCTGAAAACCCATCTCTTCAGGGAAGCCTACCCCGCCCTCAGCTATTTGCCGATCTCCTCCACTCTTCCTACCACTCCATCCCCCACAGCTATTTCCTCCTGTACCACTATCCCCTCCCTCCTAGATTGTAAGCTCCAAGGAGCAGGGCCCTCGAACCCCTCATATATCGCATTGTATTGTTACTTTACTGTCTCGTGTACTGTCTCCCATTATAATGTACAGCGCTGAGCGAACTGTTGGCACTATATAAATACTGTATAATAATAATAATACATTTATGAAGAAATTTGATTTTTTTTATTTTTTTATTGGATATGTTTTATAGCAGAAAGTAAAAAATATTGTTTTGGTTTTATAAAATAAAAAACCAGGGTGATTAAATACCCCTAATAGAAAGCTCTATTTGTGGGGAAAAAATGACAGAAATTTTATTCATGTACAGCGGTGCATGACTGTGCAATTGTCAAAGTAACGCAGCGCCGTATCGCAAAACAAAATGTCCTGGTCGTGAAGGGTGGTAAATCTTCTGGAGGTCAAGTGGTTAAGCATCTCTCTATAAACATGTTTTTCAAAGAAACAGTAAAACATGTGAAAAGAAACCTAAAGCTCCATCTGCTGGCTCAAGTGAACACATAATATGTAGGATTATAACTTTTTTTTTTATGGTTGAACTGGATGGACTTTTGTCTTTTTCCAGCCAGACTAACTATGAAACTATGTAAAATATCCATCAGCAATATTTTATATTTACCCAACAAGAAAAATATTTCTCAAAATTTATTTTTTTTTGCCCCGACCATAATAAATTAAAGGAAAATTATATACAAAACAAGTCTACGCACATTTCCTTTAAGGCTAGGTTCACACCTAGGCAGGTTGTGTTTGAGCTGTTTCTGCATTGCATTTTGCACTTGTGTTTTTGCAGCTTTTTTTTTTTCTTGTTGCTAGGCAGATTTAAAATGCAAGATTCATCAAGAATGCTGCATAAATGCAATACATGCTTTTTTTTTTATGGTTGAACTGGATGGACTTTTGTCTTTTTTCAGCCAAACTAACTATGTAAAATATCCATAAGGAATATTTTATATTTACCTGACAAGAAAAAGATTTCTCAAAGTTAATTTTTTTTGCCCTGACCATAATAAATAAAAGGAAAATTATATACAAAACAAGACTACGTACATTCCCTTTAAGGCTAGGTTCACACCTAAGCAGGTTGCGTTTGAGCCGTTTCTGCATTGCGTTTTTGCCGGTTTTGTTTTATTCTTGTTGCTAGGCAGATTTAAAATGCAAGATTCATCAAAAACGCAGCACAAACGCAATACATGCTTTTTTTTTTTTTTTTTTTTTTTTTTTTTTTAATGGTTGAACTAGATGGACTTTTGTCTTTTTTCAGCCAGACTAATTATGTAACTATGTAAAATATCCATAAGGAATATTTTATATTTACCAGACAAGAAAAATATTTCTCAAAATTTATTTTTTTTTTTGCCCTGACCATAATAAATAAAAGGAAAATTATATACAAAACAAGTCTACGTACATTCCCTTTAAGGCTAGGTTCACATCTAAGCAGGTTGTGTTTGATCCGTTTCTGCATTACGTTTTTGTCGCTTTTTTTTTTTCTCTTGTTGCTTGGCAGATTTAAAATGCAAGATACATCAAAAACGCAGCACAAATGCAATACATTCTTTTCTGCAGCATTATTGAAGCCTATAGAACCAAAAAGGCAACTTTTTTTGTTCACAAAAGTCCCTGACCCTTTCCAAAAAATGCACGGGTGAAAATGCACAGGTGTGAACATAGGAAGTCATGTTAAATGGACTGTGCTGCGTTTCTGCAAAACGCTGCAGAAAATGCTTAGGTGTGAACCTAGGGTAAGACATAATTCATGGGGAAGGCAAAGACGACGTATAGATCATCTATGTACATTTTCACTTGAATGAACTCGCTGATGTGCAGCTAAAATCCATCCGGCGCGAAAACGTTTTCCACACTCCGGGCAAGGAAAGGCGCCCACCGCTGTGTGAGTTATCTTATGTTTGTCAAGGCTGGATCTGTACGGAAAACTCTTCCCGCATTCAGCGCAAAAAAACGGCTTCTCCCCCGAGTGACTCCTGTAGTGTATGATGAGATACTTTTCATGAGTAAAGCGTTTCCCGCAGTCGGGACATGAATACGGCTTCTCCACTTTGTAGCCTACTGCCTGAAGATTTGGCGCCATGGCCTTTTCTTTTGCCACGTAGGCTGTGATGTCATCATCTACAATTTCACTGTCTGGATATTTTTCGGTGTTGTACCATCTGTATCGTCCATCTGCCGGAAAGAAATGATTGTAAATGAAGCACCCTTTAGGACAGTTAGGATATGGGTTAAATACGGGTCAGTTGGGCGGTTTGATCCAGCTATAGGCAGGCCGGTTGTACCCAAGTCAATCAAGTTAATTGACTTGGGTACCACCAGTTACATGTGATTACTGCTGGCGGCTAATGCCGCTAGCAGTACAGGCTGTTACATAGTCTGGCTGAAAAAAGACAAAAGTCCATCTGGTTCAACCAACAAAAAAAAAGTTACAATTGTACACCCACAGTTGATCCAGAGGAAGGCAAAAAAAACCCAGCAAATCCAATTTGCTCCAGCAGGGGAAAAATTCCTTCCTGATCCCCCGAGAGGCAATCGGATATTCCCTGGATCAACTTTACCTATAAAATATATCCAGTTATATTCTGTGTATCCAAGAAACAATCCAGGAGTTTCCTACAGCAATCCACTGAGCTGGCCAGAACCAACTCTTGAAGGAGTCTATTCCACATTTTCACAGCTCTCACTGTGAAGAAACCTTTCCGTATTTGGGGATTAAATCACAAAAAGTGGTGCATGTACTACTTTAGAGATCGGTGTGGCTCTGACAAAGTCGGAACCGCACCGATATGACCGCTCTAACTGTGGACAATAGGGTGCGACTTGGCATGCAATTTGCAAGTCGCATGGCATGCAAATCACATGCCAATTTGCATCCAGTGTGACCAGGGACTTAAAGCGGAGCTCCACCCAGTAGGGGAAGTCCTGCTTCAAGGCTTCACTCCCTGCCTCATGGGACTTAAAGTTTGGCAACAGCTGGAGGGCCACCAGTTTGACACCTGTGACGTACGTGATCAGAAGTGGAAGTTGTCCTCCCTGTAGTTTTCTGGGACACGTGACAGGTCTCAGAAGATTACGGGACCATTCACAAAGCACAGCGCTACTCGCGCATGCGCAGAGGGCACCCCGCTGTGAAGCCGCAAGATGTCACAGCCGGGTGCCCACACTGAAGATGCTGGCGCCGGGGACACAGGACAGACGGTGTGAGGACACCACAGGATCGAGGGACAGGTGAGTGTCTGTTTTTTTAAAAGTCAGCAGCTACAGTTTTTGTAGCTGCTTTTTTTTCTATTTTGGCTGGACCTCTGCTTTAAAAACAAACCTACAGAACCTATCTTGTTCGTAACCCAGCGGCTGCCTGTAATCATTGTGCTTTGCCGGCCAGGAAGCCTCCCCACCAGCAGATCACAATAGCACTGCGCGAGGGATTCCCCCGTCAACACGGACTGTGTTGATGGGGGAATTGAATAATTTTCTTTCCTGCAAAAGAAAATCAAATCATCTATGGCTTGCTTTAGATATTAGTAAAAAATGAGGTTTTTGTCAAAGGAAGAAAGCAAAACAATAACTGAAAATGAGAACGTTACTTTTTTGTTGTCTTTTTTTTTTAATTGTGTTTTATTTTGTTTTTTTTTATTGTTTATTACTCACCCATGCCAATCTCTAAAATTTTCCTTTTAGCCTTCAAACGTCTTTCTTCATTGTCAGCTTGGATACTTCTCGGAGTCTCTCTGGTGTTTCCGGTGTCTATGGATAAAGATGAGAGTGAAGCCCCCTGTACTGAGATGTATGAGAGACCCCAGAGAGTGTGTGTGGGGGGAGACTGGTCACGTCTCAGTGACATGATGTGAAGAGGAGAGCCAGAGTCTAATAGAGGCTGATGGCTCCTGACCCCCCCACTGGGCACATACTGTCCCCCCATTACTGTCTACTGACAGAGGAGGGGGGAGAAGAAGAGATTGTTGTAGTGACTGAACAAGGAGGATCTGGGACTCTTCTCTGGATTTAGGTGTCCCATTATGAAACTGAGAAGAGCTGCAATCCTGATGATCACAGTTCATCTCGGTTCATTAGCAGTCTATGAAATTAAGGAGATCAGCAGAGATCATCTCAGCACACAGAGAATCTGCAACTGGCATGTACAGAAACAGCCAGGTATGAAGGTGCAATCTCAGCACCTCAATGGTGATCTCTATGACAATTCTCCCTCCCACATTCTCCAGCCCAGAGGTGGAGAATCAGGGAGAGAAGCAAGAATCGCTGGAGAACTGAACAGGAAGGAGGACATATATTGACTTTCTTCCTCAGTCAAACCCCCCCAAGACAGTGAAAAAGCCCCGCTGACTTTCACAACACCCAACCCCAAAACTGGTAGTGCAGGTTAGAAACACAATAAATATACAAACTATATTGCCATAAGTATTGGTCGGCCTGCTGTTACATGCACGTGAACTCTAATGGTCTCCCAGTCTTAGTCCGTAGGGTTCAATATTGAGTTGGCCCTGCCCTTTGCAGCTATAATGGCTTCAACTCTTTTGGGAAGGCCGTCCACAAGGTTTAGGAGGGTGTCTATGGGAAGACTGGACCATTCTTCCAGAAGCACATTTGTCGGGTCAGGCACTGATGTCGGGGGAGGAGGCCTGGCTCGCAGTCTCTGCTCTAATTCATCTCAAAGGTGTTCTATGGGGTTGAGGTCAGGACTCTGTGCCGGCCAGTCAAGTTCCTCCACCCAAACTGGCTCCTCCATGTCTTTATGGACCTTGCTTTGTGCACTGGTGCGCAGTCAAGTTGGAACAGGAAGGGGCCATCCCCAAACTCTTCCCACAAAGTTGGGAGCATGAAATTGTCCAAAATGTCTTGGTATGCTGATGCCTTAAGAGTTCCCTTCACTGGAACTAGGGGGCCAAGCCCGACCCCTGAAAAACAACCCCACACCATAATCCCCCCTCCACCAAACTTTACTCTTGGCACAATGCAGTCAGGCAAGTACCGTTCTCCTGGCAACCGCCAAACCCAGACACGTCCATCAGATTGCCAGACAGAAAAGCGTGATTGGTCACTCCATAGAACACATCTCCACTGCTCTAGAGTCCAGTGGTGGCGTGCTTTACACCACGGCATCCGACGCTTTGCATTGCAATTGGTGATGTAGGGCTTGGATGCAGCTGCTCGGCCATGGATACCCATTCCATGAAGCTCTCTACGCACTGTTGTTGGGCTCATCTGAAGGCCACACTAAGTTTGGAGGTCTTTAGCTATTGACTCTGCTGACAGTTGGTGACTTCTGCGCACTGTGTGCTTCAGCATGCGCTGACCCCGCTCTGTCATGTGACGTGGCCTACCACTTGGTGGCTGAGTTGCTGTTGTTCCCAGTTGCTTCCACTTTGTTATAATCCCACTAACAGTTGAGCGTGGAATATTTAGTAGCCAGGAAATGTCACGGATGGACTTATTGCACAGGTGGCCACCTATCACGGGACCACACTTGGAGTCACTGAGCTCCTGAGAGCGACCCATTCTTTCACCAATGTTTGTAGTAGCAGTCTGCATGCCTAGGGGCTTGATTGTATACACCTGTGGCCATGGAGGGGATTGGAACACCTGATGATCACCAATGATCTGGAGGGCTGGACCAATACTGTTAATATACTGGCAATATAGTGTGTGTGTATATATATATATATATGTGTGTGTATGTGTGTGTGTGTGTATATATATATATATATATATATATATATATATACAGTATCTCCCAGAAGTGAGTCTACCCGTCACATTTTTGTAAATATTTGATTCTTTCTTTTCATGTGACAACGCTGAAGAAATGACACTTTGCTACAATGTGACGTAGTGAGTGTACAGCTTGTATAACATGTAAATTTGCTGTCCACTCAAAATAACTCAACACACCGCCATTAATGTCTAAACCGCTGGCAACAAAAGTGAGCCCACCCCTAAGTGACAAGGTCCAAATTGGTCCCAATTAGACATTTTCCCTCCCCGGTGTCATGTGACTCATTAGTGTTACAAGGTCTCAGGTGTAAATGGGGAGCGGGTGTGTTACATTTGGTGTTATCGCTCTCACTCTCTCATAGTGGTCACTGGAAGTTCAACATGGCACCTCATGGCAAAGAACTCTCTGAGGATCTGAAGCTGAGCATCTGTAGCTAAGTGTGGACTCACTTCTGGGAGATACTGTATATTATTTGTGTAGGGGGACTTTAATTTTATTATTTTATTAATACTATGCAGTGATATGTGAGGTACTGAGGAGAGCAGTCTCCTCTGAGAATGCCCGTGAACTCAGCAGTGGTAATTAACCGCTGCTTAAAGTGGAACGTTACCCATAAAACTTGATAAAAAATAATGTTCTTTAGCAAGGGATCATGTATTCCACATTAATAATTCTGCTACCAAAACTAGTGTGTTATTGAAGCCCAGAGCCCTGAACAGCAATAAACCATAAAGTCGAACTAAACCCACCGATACAATGGTTTCAAAAACAGTTACATTCCTGGAATGCCAGTATTGCTAACTGTCACATTTGCTTGTGTCCTCAACCAAACTGTCAACCTATCAAATATCTGGTTTCATAACTGATCACATGTGCAGCACCATGACAGTTGCAGATCAAACAGAAGCAACTTCCTTGGCTGTAAAGGATAGAAGGGTTTAATTCCGCTTCAAGGCTGTCAGCTGATCGGCCTCTAGTAATTCGGCAGTGCTTAAAAATGGAGAGCAACTGAACATGTGCAGAGAAGGGTAAGACAGTGTATTGCTGGATTTTAAACAGTATAGGAACTTATTTGTAATGTTTTACATAGCTATACCTGCAAAAGGGGCCAGCCTGAAGTCATGTAGCAGGACTTAATCTTCTGACTAAAGTTCCACATTAATAAACAGACATCTCTGTGTTTCACGGATTTTCTGTTACTGTAATCTGGCTACGTCTCGCAAGATTACAGTAACAGTTGGCATTCTCCACAGTTTGAAGTATTTGCAGATCGCATCACTCCTCAAAAGGAGATCTAGACCGCTTCATAAACAGGCACTCAGAGGACAGTGATCCCCACTGAGAATGTTCGAGAACTCGGCAGCAGTCATGTACCGCTGCTTAATAAACGGACACCTTAGTATTTATTACTCACCTGTGCTGATTCCTGGATGAATTCCTTCATTTCTAATCTTCACCTTTACTTCTTCCTCCTCCTTAGCTTTGATGCTTCTCAGAGTCTCTCTCGTGTCTCCGGTGTCTGTGAATAAAGATGAGAGTGAAGCCCCCTGTACTGAGATGTATGAGAGACCCCAGAGAGTGTGTGTGTGGGGGGAGACTGGTCACGTCTCAATGACATGCTGTGAGGAGGAGAGCCGGAGTCTAATAGAGGTTGATGGCTCCTGACCCCCCCACTGGGCACATACTGTCCCCCCATTACTGTCTACTGACAGAGGAGAGGGGAGAAGAAGAGATTGTTGTAGTGACTGAACAAGGAGGATCTGGGACTCTTCTCTGGATTTAGGTGTCCCATTATGAAACTGAGAAGAGCTGCAATCCTGATGATCACAGTTCATCTCGGTTCATTAGCAGTCTATGAAATTAAGGAGATCAGCAGAGATCATCTCAGCACACAGAGAATCTGCAACTGGCATGTACAGAAACAGCCAGGTTATGAAGGTGCAATCTCAGCACCTCAATGGTGATCTCTATGACAATTCTCCCTCCCACATTCTCCAGCCCAGAGGTGGAGAATCAGGGAGAGAAGCAAGAATCGCTGGAGAACTGAACAGGAAGGAGGACGTTTATTGACTTCCTTCTTCCTCAGTCAGAACCCTCCAAGACAGTGAAAAAGCCCCGCTGACTTTCACAACACCCAACCCCAAAACTGGTAGAGCAGGTTAGAAACACAATAAATATATATACACTATATTTCCAAAAGTATTGGGCCGCCTGCCTTTTAGCCTTCAAACTTTCTTCATTGTCAGTGTGGATGCTTCTCTGAGTGTCTCCGGTGTCTGTGAATAAAGATGAGAGTAAAGCCCCCTGTACTGAGATGTATGAGGGACCCCAGAGAGTGTGTGTGGGCGGGAGACTGGTCACGTTTCAATTACATGATGTGAGCAGGAGAGCCAGAGTCTAATAGAGGCTGATGGCTCTTGACCCCCCCCCCCCCCACTGGGCACATACTGTCCCCCCCCCAATTACTGTCTACTGACAGAGGGAGGGAGGAGAAGAGATTGTTGTACTGACTAAACAAGGAGGATCTGGGACTCCTCTCTGGATTTACTGGTTATTTCTCACCTGGGCTGATCTTTCTAGGAACTTCCTCCACCTTACATGGCTTTTCGTCCTTTAAAGACGTCGATTTAGCTTCCTTTTTCACTTCAGTAATATGCTTCAACCTTTTATACTGAATAATACAAAAATAGAATGGAACAATGTATTATCTGAGATTAAACAAAACAATATAAAAGACCTAGAAAGGCCCCAGAAAGATTATATAGAAAATATACAATGTAACTTGCTACAGAAACCTCAGTTTCTCCTACCTGGTAACAGCGCAGGATAGTGCTACGTTCCTGAATTGAATCCAAGGAATACAGAGGACTTGGACATCTCTCTGGTGGGTTCCCATTACTGGATCCATCTGTAGGAAACACACACACTGACTGAATCCATTGTTTCTATGTCTTTATATCAGAGGACGTGTGTATCTACAGTCAGGTCCATTAATATTGGGACATGGACACAATTCTAACATTTTTGGCTCTATACACCACCACAATGGATTTGAAATGAAACGAACAAGATGTGCTTTAACTGCAGACTGTCAGCTTTAATTTGAGGGTGTTTACATCCAAATCAGGTGAACAGTGTAGGAATTACAACAGTTTGGATATGTGCCCCCCACTTGTTAAGGGACCAAAAGTAATGGGACAGAATAATAATCATAAATCAAACTTTCACTTTTTAATACTTGGTTGCAAATCCTTTGCAGTCAATTACAGCCTGAAGTCTGGAACGCATAGACCTCACCAGACACTGGGTTTTATCCCTGGTGATGCTCTGCCAGGCCTCTACTGCAACTGTCTTCAGTTCCTGCTTGTTCTTGGGGCATTTTCCCTTCAGTCTTGTCTTCAGCAAGTGAAATGCATGCTCAATCGGATTCAGGTCAGGTGATTGACTTGGCCATTGCATAACATTCCACTTCTTTCCCTTAAAAAACTCTTTGGTTGCTTTTGCAGTATGCTTTGGGTCATTGTCCATCTGCACTGTGAAGCGGCGTCCAATGAGTTCTGAAGCATTTGGCTGAATATGAGCAGATAATATTCCCGAAACACTTCACAATTCATCCTGCTGCTTTTGTCAGCAGTCACATCATCAATAAATACAAGAGAACCAGTTCCATTGGCAGCCATACATGCCCACGCCATGACACTACCACCACCATGCTTCACTGATGAGGTGGTATGCTTAGGATCATGAGCAGTTCCTTTCCTTCTCCATACTCTTCTCTTCCCATCACTCTGGTACAAGTTGATCTTGGTCTCATCTGTCCATAGGATGTTGTTCCAGAACTGTGAAGGCTTTTTTACATGTCGTTTGGCAAACTCTAATCTGGCCTTCCTGTTTTTGAGGCTCACCAATGGTTTCCATCTTGTGGTGAACCCTCTGTATTCAGTCTGGTGAAGTCTTCTCCTGATTGTTGACTTTGACACATACACCTACCTCCTGGAGAGTGTTCTTCATCTGGCCAACTGTTGTGAAGGGTGTTTTCTTCACCGGGGAAAGAATTCTTCGCTCATCCACCACAGTTGTTTTCCGTGGTCTTCCGGGTCCTTTGGTGTTGCTGAGCTCACCGGTGCGTTCCTTCTTTTTAAGAATGTCCTAAAAACAGTTGTTTTGGCCACGCCTAATGTTTTTGCTATCTCTCTGATGGGTTTGTTTTGTTTTTTCAGCCTAATGATGGCTTGCTTCACTGATCGTAACAGCTCTTTGGATCTCATCTTGAGAGTTGACAGCAACAGATTCCAAATGCAAATTGCACATTTGAAATGAACTCTGGACCTTTTATCTGCTCATTGTAATTGGGATAATGAGGGAATAACACACACTTGGCCATGGAACAGCTGAGAAGCCAATTGTCCCATTACTTTTGGTCCCTTAATAAGTGGGAGGCACATATGCAAACTGTTGTAATTCCTACACCGTTCACCTGATTTGGATGTAAATACCCTCAAATTAAAGCTGACAGTCTGCAGTTAAAGCACATCTTGTTTATTTCATTTCAAATCCATTGTGGTGATGTATAGAGCCAAAAATGTTAGAATTGTGTCAATGTCCCAATATTTATGGACCTGACTGTAGATCCTCAATACAAGAAATAAGTCTCCTCTTACCCGGTGATGTGACGGGTGAATGGTTCTCCATCATGACGTCCTTCTACACAACCTTTTGTTCTTCTAAGTGCTCCTTTCTCCAAACTCAGAATAAAAGATGGATTATAAATTTCACACTGTTACAGATTAAAAGTTAACCTTGCTGTGCACTTTGCGAAGACACTATCCAGCCCCGAATAGCCTCTACTCATGTATGCTTTGGAAGAAACCAAGTCTCCTACCTTTCTTCATAGTGAGAGGTTCTTGTGTCTTTCAATATACCCTTTGATTAGTGGGCACCTGAGGATATCTCAGTTCCTGGCCTAACCAAACTGAATCATTAATCTAAGGATCTTGAATATACTTTATATCATCTACCACATGAGGGTGGGCATAGATGGAATAGATGAAAAATGAGCAGACAAGAGAACAGCTATGGATGGCAAAGAAGAACAGCAATCACAGAGGGAAGGAGAGAGAGCCAGATGTTAGCAGAAGTCTAAGTGAAGCTGAAAAACAGTTCACATTGCAACAAACCTGCATACAGTGTCTGGGGAAGAAGGGCCTACAGTGGAAAGGTGTTAAACTGCCCAAATGAGAGCACAGAGGACAAGGAGCACAACACAACGATACTTAAACAAAAATGAGCTGTATGGTTGAGTTGCAAGAAAGGAGCCATTACTGAGCTAATGCCACAAAAAAAAAGCCGGGTTACAATATGCCCAACAACATCTTGGCACGCCTCACTGGGCTTTTCTGTACCAATGGTGCAGTAAAGGCTTCTTTCTGGCAACTCGACCATGCAGCTCATTTTTGTTCAAGTGTCGTTAGATTGTGCTTCTTAAAAAAAATCACAGCGTCTTTTTCCAGAGCAGCCTGTATTTCTCCTGGGGTTACCTGTTGGTTTTTCTTTGTATCCTGAACAATTCCTCTGGCAGTTGTGGCTTTCTTGGTCTAGCTGACCTTGGCTTGGTATCAAGAGATCCCCGAATTTTCCACTTCTTAATAAGTGATTGCACAGTACTGACTGGTATATTCATGGCTTTGGATATCTTTTTATATCCTTTTCTATCTTTATAAAGTTCCATTACTTTGTTACGCTGGTCTTTTAACAGTTCTTTTCTGCTCCCCATAGCTCAGTATCTAGCCTGATCAGTGTAGCCACATGAGAGCAAACAAACTCATTGACTGTTTATACACAGACACTAATATCAGTTTAAAAATCACATAAGTGGGAAACTAATATTTAATTGCCATTTTAACCTGTGTATGTCCCTTTTTATGTCTGTACCAAGGCCAAACATTTCAGGGGAGGGAAACTTTTGATCCGGGCCATTTGGTGATTTCTATTATCATTATGATAAAAGGAGCCAAACAACTATTTGATAATAAATGGCTTCATATAATCACTATCCTTAACCACTTCCCGTCCGGTCCATGTACATAAACAGCTGGATGGAAGCAGTGCGGAAGTGGGTCACCGTTTATAAACGGCCCCCACATTCCCTGCCTCCGGTGCCCACTGTGTCCTCCATACACAGTGGAACACCGATCGTCATACGGGACCTCTCTGCGAGGTCCCGATCATGTGATCACTGATTGGCCAATCAGTGATCACATGCAGAGTAGTAAGCAAGATGTCACTTCTCACATCATTGCTTACTACGTGTGAAATCTGTGAATGATCAGAGAGATCACATGGTACAGGGCTATTCACAACAGCCTTGTACCATGCGACAAGCTGTGACCAATCACTGCTCTCACAGTATTTCTCAATGGCTGCAAGAATGCAGCCAGAGAGAAGGAGAAATTATTGCTTTTACAGCCTTTATGGGTGTAAAAGCAATCAGTGTAAAAAAAAAAATATTCATCACACCCCACAAGTAGTACAGTGTCACCATGGTGACACTGTACTGCTAGGGTGACGGTATGTTAAAAAAAAAAAAAAAACATAAATAATAATATAAAAAAAAAAAAAAACTAAAGATGATAAAGAAAAAAAAATGTAGAAAAATTATAATTTTTGGTTATAAACTAATCTGGGTTATTTTTTTTAATACTAAAGATAGATGAATACATTTTGGCCAAGATTTATGAAGAAAGATTATTTTATTTTCAAATTTTAGAAGAAAAACAGTTTTTTTTTTCAAAATGTTTGGACTTTTTCATTTATATAGCAAAAAAATTTAAAATCCCAGTGGTGAATAAATACCACCCAAAAAAAAATTGTATCTGTCTCAAAAAAATGCTAAAAAATGTATATGGGTACAGTGTTGCATGACCGCGCAATTGTCATTCAGAGTGTGATAGCACTGAAAGCTGAAAATTGGCCTGGACTGGAAGGGGGGTGAAAGTCTCTGGACTTGAAGTGGTTAAATAAAAGACAGTTTTGTGGCATGATCGGTCATATTTTCAATATAAGTGCCAAAATTTCATGATTTCTGCCAGGGGAGGCAAATTTTTTGAGCACAACTGTCATTTAAGTACACTTAGCTGTAATGCAGGCCATAGATGGCTCATTTATTGGCCGATTTTTTGTCCGAAAAACGAAACATCGGTCACTCTGTTGCAACCAATGATTGCGAAAATTTTCACAAATTTTCCAGCATGACCGATAAGAGAAATTTATAGGAACTGCAAAAATCGGCCAATGACATTGCCCCACTAACACTGCGAAAATCGGCCGATTATTTTTTCGGACGAAAAACTAACCGTCTATGGCCTGCATAACTCCTCTCTCAGGATCATCTGTTGACCGAGCCTTCTCTATCCCCTTGCATGTTCACATTGCACTCTGTCCTCTTTTTTGATCCATTATCTTTCTGTTAGTTCTCTTTAACTTTTCCCTCTCTTTGTGATCGCTCAGTGCTCTGCACCTCTTTTGAGAAATAATGTATGCCCGCCTGCATCATTGTCAGATCAGGCAGCGATGCATACCAATGTGTCTTGAATCCCTTTGACAACCAGCCTAAAAAGGTCTGTTAAACCCCCCAAAAACGGTTTTATTACCTGTTGATCCTGTCAGTAGATCTGTTATTTTTCCTCTTCCTTTAACAAGCCAAGCTGTCCAGCATAAGTGGCGGTTTTTACCGTTACAGGAACTCCCAATCTTGGCTGCCGAATGGTTAGAGCAACTGTCAGTCACGCAGCAGGGGGCACTGACTGCAACAGATTGGATAACAACTGGTGGGATGGCGAGAGATAATGAGAGCTGCCGGATAGCATAGTCACCCTGTTAAAGGAAAGCGAGAGAGAAAAATTGGCAGGAGATTAACAATTACTACTCCAACCAATATATAAAACCATACATAACATTTACAAGGCCAAAGGGAAGCTATTTAACACAGCCTTAGTTGTACAGTTGTGCTCAAAAGTTTTTGCAACCCCTGGCAGAAATCCTGAAATTTTGGCATTGGAACTGAAAATATGAGCTGACCGTGCAACAAAACTGTCTTTTATTTAAACCCACAACAGTAAAAATCAGTCTGTATATGCAGTAAAGCATGCTTGCTATACCCACTGTGGAACCTAAGGGATTAATCCTCCGCATTCTGTAGAAAGGCTGATTGATTCTGTCTTCTCTGATCCTTCCCCTTCTTCTAGTGTCCCCCTAATCTATCTGCTGATAGTACAGAGCTCTAGGAAGCACTCTGCACATGCTCAGTTTGGTGTGTACTGGTAGAGATTTTTTTGGGGAGGAGAGAGAGCATGTGACCGGCACAGGGACAATCAGCACTGTCCAGACAGAGGGTCAGGCAAGGGTGCATGTGATCAGCACTATCCAGAGGGTCAGGGGGGCTCATGCAGCCTCATAGGGACAGTCAGAGGAGGATGAGGAAAACTCCTCCTACAAGCGTTAACTAGTGCTCTGCTGGACCACTGATAGTAGCCACAAGACTGCTATATACTGTTGATAAGAAAAGGTATTTAGCAGTTTATATTTACTAAAATTAGGGGTGCACCAAGATTTTGGTGGCTGAAACATTTTGGCCGAAAAAAAAACCCCTATCGGCCGTTGGCCGATATGAAAAAAAGCACCAATACAGGTGCTGAAAAATATCCTGCCTCTTCGCTGCTGCCGCTGCCCGCTGGTTCCGCCCCTTACTGCTGCCCACCTGCCGCTGCCGCCACCGCTTGGGTAGTTCTCAGCCTTTTACCTGAGAAACCATCGATCCCGGTGCTGGGCATAGAGATTAGTGAAGGAAAGATGGCCTCCACTCATCTCTATGCCCTTGACCACAGCGATGTCACTTCCGGTTCCGGCATCTTGTAAACAAGGCCTTTTTTTTTTTTTTTAAAGCACTAGATCAATGCTTTTTGATCCAATGCTTTACATTGCATAGGAGAGATGTGGGGTCTTTAGTGACCCCATATCTCTCCATAAAGAGGACCTGTCACTAATTATTTCTATCACAAGGATGCATGCATTTCTTGTGATAGGAATAAAAGTCATTAAAATTTTTTTTAAAGGGACAGTGTAAAAAAAAAAAAAATGTTAAAAGTTTAAACTGCCCCCGTGCTCGCACGAAGTGGTGAACGCATACGTAGTCCACGCCCACATATGTAAACGGTGTTCAAACCACACAGGTGAGGTATCGCCACAAACGTCGGAGCAAGAGCAATAATTCTCACACTAGACCTCTTCTGTAACTTTACACTGCTAACCTGTAGAAATTTTTTAAAGCATCACCTATGGAGATTTTTAAGTACCGCAGTTTGACGCCATTCCACGAGCGTGTGCATTTTTAAAACGTGACATGTTGGGTATTTATTTACTTGCCGTAACATCCTCCTTCATATTTTACAAAAAATTGGGGTATATATTGTGGGTTTTTTTTTTTTAACCAAAGTGTATTTTTTTCCGAAAAATATATATTAATTTTTAAAAACTGCCCAAGTGTTTTCTGAATTTTCGTTTTTGGTTTCAGCACCAGAATTTTCATTTCGGTGCACCACTAACTAAAATAATCACATTTCCATCTTCTGGTCTGGATATAGTGAATGCAGGGTCTGGGGAAAGCGGATATAGTGAATGCAGGGTCTCTGGGAGAGCGG